AAGCTAAGACTCCTACGTAAAAGTTTTTAAGCTAAATTAAGAGTTTTCTAAAAGGATTCTTAGATTCTTTAGGAATACGGGCCCATATTAATATCCTGAGAGGTTTGTTAAAAGAAACTGTAATGATTTCACTAGACCACCAGATGGAGACAGAGGTGTTATCAAACAATACCTTTACCATGTCCATCCATCCATCCTTCCATCCATCCGTTCTTCAAACCGCGTGTCGTATGTAGGGTCGCAGGGATGCTGAAGCCTATTCCTATTCCTAAAGCAGGGAAACGTCCTGGATTTTCGAATCGATGTGACTTATTCATGTGTCAGCACTAATGACAGATGCTCGTTTCCACCTAGTAAAAACACACCAGGTAATTGTGAGACAAAGATAAAAAAGAACACTGTGAGAAACAATGTTGCCATTGTGAGATTTAAAGTCATAATTACGAGACAAAGCCAAATTTGTGAGATATAGTCCCATTTATGAGGTAGCGTCACAAATATGAGATATACAGTCACAATTTTGGAACAAAGATGCAATTGTAAGATATAAACTTGCAATTTAAGAAAGAGACACGTTGTGTGATATAAAGACATCAATATGAGTCACAATTGTGATATAAAGATACAATTGTGAGATATAAAGCCACATTGTTAGGTATAACGCTACAATTAAAAGAAATGAAGTCACGATTGCCTTTTTCAGTAACTCTGAGGCATGCATGCTTTATTCATTTTTGATTATCAGCAAAGATCCATCCAAACAAAAATGAAAGTGCACTCCTTTTTCACTTCTACCTTCTGACGTTTATGAAGATGAATATGTCTGCTTTACTGTCCAAAAAACTAAACAAAAAAACCTGTCAGAACAAGTAATAATTCAGTATGCACAGTATACAGTAAGAGCCTGTTCGCCTCCATAAACATGATGAAATCATACAAAGAAATGATTATTCTCGGCTTCCTGCCTTCCGTTTTACGAGATTGACATTTACAAAACACAAATGCTCCCCGGTGACTTCAGTTGGCACTCATTTAAAGACTTCCATTCACTATGGGATTTAGAGTTAAGAGACCGTTTAGATAGCAGGAAGTGTGGAGGAGGATTGCAGGCCACACAGCTCAACCAAACATAAAATAAACAAAATTATTTTAGGAAGTATACTTAATTAGAGCTCAAGGACATTTTTAAGTGTACTTTTTGTATTAAGTATAATAGCATAAGTTGCAAACCTTTTTTTTGTACAGGAAGAATAAAAGTCTCTGTTTCAAAGTTCAAGAGTTTAGCTGGAAGAAAGTGAATTTATGACGGTCCGGTTGGAATAAACAATCATGTTCACATTTTTTTTGGAATTTGAATAGTTAATTCCAACCTGACTGACATAAGTTCAAATTCACTCTCTTCCAGCTAAACTCTTGAACTTTGAACCAGAGACTTTTATTCTCGGCCCTCGGATATGACGCCACTTCCACACTTCAAGCGTTCTGGTATGTTTTGCGATGGTTTTGCGCATCCGAGTTGGAGAAAAAACATTGCTGTTGTTGCTATGGTAGCACTGGCCGAGTACCAGGCGCTTATTAAAACGCAGCCATTTGAACTTCTAAAATTTTCCCTTTATTTCATGTTTTAGTTTATCTTCTGTTAGCAACGCTAGCCACGTTAGTAACACCCGTTTGAAACGAGGCTTCATTTAATATTGCTCTCACAACAAGACCGATTCCCATACCCACAGGCAGTGATACGGACGCAGTGAGGAATTGCAGTAATTAAAATCGTCATTTAAACAACCAAAGCGGTCCACAAAACAATGAAAACAATTCACACAAGTAACACAGGGCGCAGCCATCTTGGATTCCGTATCGGATATTCTTGCTCGGTGTCCTCACGATTATCCGACTTCTCAGCTGGGAAATCCAAGGAAAGGGCACGTGTTGCTAGGCAACGTCTGTCTACCTCAGAGCCGGTCCGAGCCTTTTGGGGGCCCTAAGCAGAATTTGATTTGGGGGCCCCCTCCCACTACACGAAGTCCCCTGTGCTTGACGATTATTGACACAAATGTCACGCAATAATGATACATTATGAATGAAAACAGTAAGGTTATGTATTAATACAAAATAAATAGGCCTACTTAATAAAAAATAAATGCCTACTTAAATAAAAAAGTTTTAACTTTTACTTTACTCTTTTACTAACTGTGTGAAACTTCTTAAAACAAACTGTCTCAAAACATATAAAATAAAATATTTGCTAAAATAATGACAAAACTGAGAAATCAGAAACATAATAAGAGCAAGGGTTCAACAATGACAATTATTGTTAAAAACTGTAAAAATATTATTATTTCTCAACTGTCTCAATACAGTGTAACTGTCCACTGGATTGTGTTGCGAAAGACACGCAAGCTCGCTTAATCACCTCTCTGCCGTCGTGCGCGTGCGCGGTTAGGAGCGCGCCGTTAGGAGCTCAACACATCTGTCTCGCATGCACGCTCGCTCGCTATAGATTACAGGATATTTTAACTAATTTGCGGTAAAACTAGTCGATCACGAATGGCTCAACTGGTAGATCTACATAAACTTATCTTTCAGGCATTTGACCGACCGGGTTGACACTTCAGCGTGAGAAATCGGGGGTGTGGCGTGAGAGCGTGAGAATTGGCTCAATTGCGTGAGTCTCACGCTGAATGCGTGAGAGTTGGCAGCCCTGCACCACAGCAAATGGTATAGGCCTAATACTAAACCAATTTTATGCAGCATGTTATTAGCATGTAAGTTAAACAACTGTAGAAAATTAATACAAGCACGATTTAGGCTAATGTTAACCTTTAATATAAGACTTTTAGTGCAGATTATCCATATTACAGAAATCGGAAAATTAAGCCTACAGGCTTACGTACCTTTATCTTCTTGCTTCTTCTCTTCTTCCAGGCTCTTTTTTGTCGTTTTTCTTGGTCAGAAAGATATTTTCCTTTCTTGTCAGACATTGTCGATTCGTCGGAGTCGCTAACTGACTGACCAAGTGACAACGAGTGACATCATAGCAGTCGGGATAAAGACGTGCGCGCGCCTTCGCGGGGAGCTCCCGGTTGATTTGCCATAATACAGAACTAAATAAATAACAACTCTGTGCTTATCATGATGCCTGATAAAGAGCGCTGTTGGTCCATTTCTTTTTATTTATTTATTTTATGTTACTTTTGTTGTGCGATTTTTCCCCCCACTAGCTAGCAGTGACTCTAGGGGGCCCTCTGCTGGCCACGGGGCCCTTTGCAATTGCAACGGTCGCTTAGTGGCTCGGCCGGCTCTGGTCTACCTAGTCGAAACTCCGACACGGAAGAATAATAGAACGCACCAAAAATGCTGCGTTCACGCCATGTCGAAACTACTGTAGGCCCTGTCCCAAATGGCGCACTTCATGTGGACTTTCGGTCTCGTGGATTTAAATTGCGCGTGCTCACTGAGTCTACGAGTCCGTAAGCCGTCCCATTCATCATTTTAACACTCTGAAGTGTGCTCAGCAGCGCCCCCTTTGCACCATTGAAGCGGTCTTCCGCGAAGCCCACAGGCTCCACACTTTAACTACCCAGGAATCCTTGCGAAAGGCCAATCAGACAACGGATGGGAGGAGATTTCGCTCACGGACAATTGTTAACATGTCTGAAAAGTGTAAGTATCATTACGGTTTTTATGACCTAGGTGTAGATTTTACCAGTTATTACCTACGGTTTATACAAACATTATGGTCATCGACCAGTGGTCACAGCTGTGTGTCAGTGTCTCGTCATCACATGTGTATTTAAGTTCCTGCTTGTCTTCAGTTCAGTGCCGGTTATTGTTTGTGTCTAGTGCATACTGTTTATGCGCTGCACGCCGTCTCACCTAATGGTTGTATTCTGAGTTACTTTAAACTAACGTGTTACCTTTCAATCATCATCGTCTTCATTGGATCTAAATCGTGACAATAGGCTAATAATAGCGTGCTGAAAAATACGATCGCATTATGATTCATTAAATAAATAGAACCGAATGTCAGGGCTTTAATGAGTCATATGTAAACATAGTAATATTTAAACCTGTAAATTCATATGAAACTCACGCACATTTTGGTAAATGGTAAATGGTAAAATAGTAAAATGGTAAATGGACTGCATTTATATAGCGCTTTCACAGACCCAATGGCCACCAAAGCGCTTTACATTTGCCTCACATTCACCCATTCACTCACTCATTCATACACCGACGGGCGACGGCAGCCATGCAAGGCGCCATCCAGCCTGTCGGGAGCAGCTGGGGTTAGGTGTCTTGCTCATGGACACCTCGACACTTGGTCAGGTGGAACCGAGGATTGAACCACCAACCTTCCGGTTTGTAGACAACCCACATGAACCACTGAGCCACTGAACCACATGAACCACTGAGCCATAACACAATTTTCATTATGTGTTAAAATTGTAATCTTATTGTAATCTTGTAATCTTAGTTCAAATGGAACATTATGTATTATTATGTACAATACATCATTTAAATAAGCATGCATCTATTGTCTAATGCCCAGGTGGCATACACAATATCAAAATATAGAACTGTAAAAGCAGGCTGTGTAGTTGACATGGAGATAAGAATTGGTTCAAATAAATCCTGTTCTTGATCGATGCTAAATAGTATAATATTTGTATATATTTGTGATTTTTATCTAATAAAGGGACTAATGAGAGAGGGATAAGGCTCGATCGAGTCTGTCCTAAAAATACCTACCTCTCAATGCGCCCTCGTGGACTCGTGCCAAGGGCCCTATAGGTCTGCACTACATGACGTCACCAAAGTGTGGACTCTGAGGAAGTCCACAAGTCCGGAGTGTGCCATTTGGGACAGGGCCGTATAGTCTCGGGACACTAGAGTCACATGACACTAGACAATATACAAAAATAAAAGACATCAAAACATGAACAGACGTGACACCTAGAAGAATACTGAGCACACAATCTAGGGGTCTTTAGGGGGTATCAGAGTTTGTCCTGTCTGCTCCTTATCCTGCCGAAGCTCTTGCACAGGCCGTTCACTGAAGCGACTCTCTCTTTGCTGATTTTGGGCAGGGTGGGAGTTGGTCGTGATGATCCATGCCAGGACGCCGTACTTCTTCCCACGCTGGAGGACGTGCTGTGGTTGTGTGTCTGAGGGTGGGAAGGGCTGGGATTGACTCTGGGGACGGGGAGGTCTGAGTTCATAACTGTGGATCTGGAGAGTCGGGTGTGTGTCTGGTTCTCGTGTAGTTTAAGGGTGGAGTGTCTGAGTTCCTGAAGCTGTTCTTTGGCCAGTGTCAGCGCTGCTGTCAGTTCTTCCCTTTCTTCACACTCACGCCTTACTGTCTCCTCAAGAAGGCACTTCTACAAATCATAGAAAGAAAAAAAGGTGGAGGGATGGAAACAGAAAACTTCATACCTCTCACAGGCCAATAAAACACTTACATGGTTACAAAATAAATCTAACTAAATGAAAAGTAGCTACAGTAGCTTTAAACTTAGAAACTGCCTTTACCTTAATTTACAGTAAATCTGTAACCCATTTATTTTGGGACAATTTTAGCAAGCAGTTCATTCAACTGTCTATAAAGAATATGTCTAATATGCTTCTGCTGCTTACTAATTAGTTCAACGGCATGAAAACATATGTTTTTGCTCTAGGTTGTTGGTTAACCTTAAGAAAAAGAAGTACACATCACCATTCCTCCTTTTTTGGCAATGTGAGGTTAAGACGCGTGTCGGCAGAGCTAACTGTTTCTGATAATACACGCTTCAATAGAGCTATTTAAGTCATCCAAATCATGTTTATTAGTAAGAACAAATCAAATAGCAAGAACAAATGCGTAAGAACAAATCCGCAGACGCCCAGCCCACAACGAGAACCAGTATAGTGCTGGGCAGTCTTAAGAAGCCCCGTCGGATAACAACACATCTCAATGAGCCAGGAGTGAACAAAGCCAACAAGCTTCGCTCAAAGAAAACATCTCAGCTTTGATCCAAGAATCAACGGTGCCTCTTCAAGAATCAGTGAATGGTCTACTGGAGACTTGGGCAAGTTTCCAGTGTCTCTTGTGTGGCACAAACTCATGGGCGATAACTTCACTGCGCTGGCTACTGCCGAAATATAATTTTGAAAGGCAAAACACGACATGACTGGACTAAGATGATGACTTCTAAATCCGGTCACGGACAGCAAATCACAGGATTTTAAACAGTCTTGAGAACGGTGAGAAAGGCCAGTCTTTTTTGAAAATTCTCCCAAATTGAAATCAATCTTTGTGCCCAAACCCACGGGAAGGTCCTCCTCCTCGCCCACTCGAGGTGTGTTTGCATAAACTCTAGGAGAAGGAAAAAGCGATATAGACGGGCCGGACAACATGAGGCAAAATACAAGGACTCTTTGAGGATCTATCCTGACATCTCCGCCGGTCTCGCTTTAAAAACTGTCCAACAGTTGCTGTACCAGAAGGATGTACAATTCCTGCATTACGACTCCCAGTTCGCTGAGGATGAAACATTGCTTTTTACTACGCCTGATGAAGCTCAGCAGATTGCTACACGTGAATAACTCTTGATATTATTGCAGCAATGTTGAGAATTACAGAAGAGTTATGTTAACTACGAGGCAGGCCTGAGACATTTTAAATTTCAGTGCACCCTTTTTTTCTTTAAGTGCACTTTTTGTTTTAGGGTGGTTTAAATGCTTTCCTCTGTGTTGACAATTGCAATGCCCTATTTTCATAATTCTTTAAGTATATCATTGATCCTGCAATTGATAGCAAGTTTAAAATGCTTTAAGTGCAGGTCTGCTATATTATATAACACACTTTTCTTATCTGTGCTAATTAAAGGTGCAGTAAGCAATATCTGAGAAACGCTGTTGAAAGTGGATCTGACCGAGCACCAAAACACACTTGTAGCCAATCAGCACTAAGGGGCGTGTCCACACATTAAGGGGGAGGAGTCTGTGTTGCATAACATGTTTGTGATTTGGGGGCGGGGCTATCAAAATAGGGGTGTGATCCTTCTGGGTAGGGGCGTGTTGGTTTCGGTGATTTTAAATATCCACAGCATGTCTCAGATATCGCTTACTGCACATTTAACAGGCTATAGCGCCCCTTTTGCGCCGAGGTCACAATTACGTCACGGCGTTAGCTGGAGGCAAAACAAAGTAAAAACTGGAGGCGGCCAATACAAACCAGCACAGATTCGGCTACATAATAAGGATATTAAATTATTATTATTTTTATTAAATGTCATCTTGTTGTGTTTCTGGGTGCTAGAATCACCTACAGGATCCAATTTGAAATTTTATTGCATAATGTTTTCTAAATTATTGTGATTATTTGTGAATCATCTATGATTGTATACATTGTTGTGATTGATTGTGAAAGACTTTTTGAAGAACCAGGTAAGAAAGAATAATCAAATACATAGTTAATTAATATAATTTAATACATAAAACGTATTTTTATTTCTAGAAAATATTCACATCATTAAAATTGCACTGTAATGTCACTCTTTACATTGTCGTCTTCTGGCCTTGGCGCTGGGCAGGACCGCGCAATGTAACGTTGCCACAAGTCAAGACCATTCATCACATAGTTATAGGCATCTAAAGATTTATATGCCCTCAGTTTGTCTTTACGCTCGGTTTCTCTATCAGGTGTAGAAGTCAGGCCACTCACTCACCCGAGGTAACGTTAATCCTGTCAGATCGCCCATCCATTGAGTGAGCGTGAACGGGTCGGCCAATCAAATTAACTTTTGCAAATAACAATCGCGGTCCTGGACAGTGAGTGACCTTGCACATTAAGATAAAATCTGATTTTCTCCCGTCATTGTTAAAAAACAAGCCAAAAAAATGTACAAACTAGCGTTAGTGAAGCGGCCAGAGCGATCATTCTGCCTCCACCTAAGCTCCGCCCACATAAAAACGTTAACGTTATCATGTTTACCAACTGAAAAGGGGTCTATAGTATTGTATAATAGTATTGATGATTAATAACTTTACCGTTGATTGGCCCAAAAATGATGGTTTGCATTTATCGTTTTGTTAATGCAGTATTGTGTCTGTTAATAGTGCGTGTGGTCCGCTTATACACTTATTTGTATGCCTGATTTTATATTTCATGCTTTTCTGGTTACATTAGGTCGCGAGCTCTGAGGGAAAATAAAAAACTCAAAAGGATATGGACTTGGATCACTGGCAGTCGAGAGATGGTTGTGAGCTGCGGTTTGTCTTTATTAAACGGACAAATCTTGAATGTATTATATGAGGAAATACAGATGGAGATTAAAAAGATAGATGTGATTAAGTATATAAATAGCCTTTCTACAGGAAACACTTACTGAAAATTATAACAGACTTAGGAAACCTTGGGTTGGCCAGGTTTACTACTCCAGTTTTACCCATATGTGTTGGGGCGTAGTGATAATAATTCACAACACAACACTATTTACTGCATCTGGAACGATTTCAGATCCCAAGGGCGGTATATTATTGCATCAGGTCATCGTTTCAGTAAACAAATAGTATTGGTCAGTGTTTACGCACCCAATCGGGATGACGTTAAAGTGTAAATTGCAGGTTACATTTTTCACGAAGATAATGCAATGTGCTTACTAAACATAAAGATAAGAACCGCCCACCATTGTTTTTTTTATGTTTTTTATACCAAAATGCTGAATATAATATGAAAAGTTGGTGCGTTTTACAGTGGTTTTAAGCACGCTTCCTCTAGGCTGGGCGTGACGTCATAACAGGTACTCCAAGCTTTTACTGTCTATGCTCCAGGCCTGGAGTTACGTTATATTGGAGACCTAGCTAGCAAAAATGGTTAACTATTGTGTTTGTGCGGGATGTACGAATACATCAAAAACGGGGGAGAGGCTCCACAAGTTCCCCAAGGACAAACGGCTGATTCGTGCCTGTAAGTGTTAGCATAACTTCCCGAGGTAGAGCTTAGATCGGGCCCAAAAAAAATCAACACATTAACTGTAATTATGAGCCTGAGCCCGATTTAAACCCGACTATTTTTTATTACGTGGGACGTTATAATTGACGTTCTCAACTACTTTCTATGTTACTTTCTCCCGCCCGCAACATTTGTGTTTTGTCCCGCTCCCGCCGGCGAAAAGACTTTTTTTCTGTACCTCCAAATACTTTCAAGTTAGCCTACGTGTCGCCACCATACACATCAGCATACATGCTCCTGATAAATGATTTGTTATTAAAGCATTAACAAACCACTGTTTTAACATAAAAGCAAGCGGGCTACTGCGTGCATGGTCTGGCATGACTGCGCGCAAAGTGCGCTCCCATAATAATTCCTAAAAAGCTGACATCAGTTCATCGCGATCTCACACATCTGTTATTATCAATGAAGCTTTCATAATATATACACTTTGTTTGTTATAATTAGAGGATTTGCCAGCATACAGAATTCAGCACTGAACAAAAAGTCCGTTTTGAGCGGTGAGGGGCGTCTATTGTAAATGCTTCTGATTGGCCAATATTGGGTTCAATAAATCAACACATGTCTGTGATTGGCTACATCGCTCAGCGCTGCAAAGATGTTAGAAATAGAAACTCTGCCTGCAAATCCTTTCTATGTTGTTTTAGTTGTTCTTGTTGCTTTTCTGCAACAGATGACTAAAAATGTATTCGTTTTTATGTTTTATTCATAGATATTTCTAGTTTGCGGGAGTCCCGCGAGTCGTTTTATTCTCCCTCGACCCGGACACACAGAGTGAGTGCATTACCGCCCGCGCTCCCTCTTCTGACGTCATCGCCCAATTACTGTACAAAACATGCTACCTTTGAAGAAACCCCAATAAATGTTATTTTAACGCATTTTAAGACAGAAATTTTTTAATATATACATATTGAGCACTTTAATTTACACATTAATTGGTTGTGGTGGTTAACCTGCAATTTACACTTTAACTTTGATAAAAATATATTTTCCTTGTTATACCGGATTTATTCATAACTAGTGCGATTGTCAATTTTCGAATAACGTATAAAACAGACACTATATATCATTATAATAGATGTTTTAGGTTGTAATAAGGGGTTAATAATATCCTAAAATTTGGGGATGGAGCTATCGGGCCGTGTTTGTTTGGGTGATTTCAGATATCAACAGCGTTTCTTAGGAATCGCTTCGCTCTTGGTGTGAACGGGCCTTAACACAGGACCATATCCCAGTTCTCCTGAAGCCAGATAAAGATGCCCTTGATTATATACTATAGGCTGATTTTTCTTTTTAGAGGGATAGTTCACCCAAAAAACAAAGAAACTCATACAGGTTTGAATGGGTGAGTAAATGATGACAGAATTTTCATTTTTGGGTGAACTT